CCCGCAGCGGTATGGAGAATGGCAGTTATAGCCTATCATGCAGACAAGCAGGAAAGTCCAACCAGAAATTATACATGTACATAACCAGAGGTTCTTTTCGTTTATTTCATTTCAGAAAGATGGGACGAGACCTAGCTCGAAGCCGTTCTCCTCAGGGCGAACATACCTGCAAAGTCTGCCATAAGCAGTTTACAAGTGCAGCCAGCCTGCGAAGACACATCGATGAGCAGCATCTCGAAAAAGGGAAGTTGAAGTGTCCGTCATGTCCGAGCCTCTTTCGTCGCAAGCACGAGTTAGATCGCCACTGGGAGGCCGCACACGAGTCCTCGACAGAACCGGAGGTTCCCCGTACGCCTGGACGGAACCTCGACGTCTTGCAACTTCACCCAGACAAGGCTGATCGTCGGGCCGTGGAGACTCGCAATGACCATTGCCCGGCCCCTGTACGCAGAGTGACAACTATGACATCGATGGTGGGGACTCTTTCAACGGCTTCGGTGGAGACGCGTAACAAGGGAGTGCAGACAGAGCATGGGGAAGGACGAGTTGTGGAGCGCACCACACAGGAGCTGTTCGACGGCAAGACTGTCGTAGCCAAGATCACCAAGGAACGTTTTGTTTACGAATAATGCCTACGCGAATTAACAGACAGATTTCTTCCCAGGGGTTTTCTTGATTAATAAAGTTCTTTCAGACGTTTCTAAAATAATTATTTTGATGTCTTGTTTGCGCAAAAGAAGTTTATATTTGAGAACCAAAAGTTTGGCATATTTTGTTTAGAAAGCATAAATTTGTCTTCCGAGAATAAAAGACGACATTTTGTTAAGTTTATAACAGTTATTTCTTCTGAGAAAGTCCGATGGAAAACTTGCCATTCATTAAAGTTTTTGAAGTTTAAGTGTTTGAGCTTTATACTTTGATTAAAATTTGTGCCAGTATAAGGAGTTTATCAATAATTAGAAATAATTGTTGCCTGATTTTTAAGAGAAATAATTGTTGCCTGATTTTTAAGAGAAATAATTGATGTTTGTAAAAAACAAAAATATTGTTGGATTTGCTTATTAATTAAAATTGGCCGATGTGAGGACACATCTCCCTTAAAGGAGGGGGTGGTGTAACGAACACGGCCGGGTCACGTCTGCACTGCGCGCTGCGTACGTGACACGCGCGTTGTACTTGTGTTATTGGGCAACAAGCCAGGTTTTTCGCGGGCTTTTAGTAGCGCGCTCACTTTCCAGCTGGGCGTCGAACTGAGAGGATCGTGCTAACGATTCGGACAGCTTGTGCGGCAGACCAGTGACTCGTGCAATGATGTAAGTGGAATAAAGTGGAATAAAGTTATATCGATCACAAGAAGAATTGTTCCTGAACCCAACATCTGTGTCCGTGTTTATTTTACTTTGCCATTTGTCTGTCTGTGTGCCGTCCACGTCCGTAGCTATTTGTCACAAGCACCCGACCTAATTCTCCCTAGCAAATCCGCCCTGAAAAGCCCTTGACCGCACCCAGACACGTTACAATAGCTTGCCTCACTAATTTTAGCAGCATAGTACGATACGTTTGTTGAAACACAAATCAAAATAACATTCCGGCCGATAATTTATTTTGTGCAGTGAAAATTATCGTCATATATTAGATATTTCAGTGCATGTAATAATGGTATTATTATTAAACTCTTACATATTCTAATTAATTGTGTATATCCACTAACCACTGATAGATCCAGGCATGCATTACAATACTTTGTCATTCACTTTAAGTAATATGTATTTTTAAACCTTTCGATATTTTAAAATGATTTACACTGAGAAAAGTACTTTTAAAGTTAGATTATACAAACAAATAATTCTACATTTCCTCTCAAGAGCCTGGATCGATCATTGATGTTTAGTTTATATACAAGTATGTACAGTGTCTGGTATAACAGTACAAGTTCACTCATTTTAATAATTCAGTCAATCTACATTGGATTTGCTACAATTCACACAAAATGTTATCCCCGAAATGGTTAACTTGAAATGAGAATCACTTCAATAATTGCAAAGTTAATGTGAATGTCCTATTTAAACTTAACTTGTGACAACTACCTACAAACAAATAACATAATTTTGTCTTCAGTTCATGTCAAAACCTAAATACACAGTTGATTTGATATTTTTTGAAATAACCCAAAAATGAGCAACAAGCTATGTACAAAACGTTTACTAATTCAAACACCTGGCATGTAGATCATTTGTCACACATTTCTAAAAGTCATTCCTGAAAAAAAAGAAAAAAGTGACTACAAAAGAAAATCAAATTACGTTTTGTATTTGTCTGTTTCCTGTACAAAGCTCTACACTTTTTCATTTACATTTATACAGGTATGTTTACATGGAGGGCTGCTGCTGCTCACCCTTCTTTTTTGATACCGATGTAGTGATAAGGGTATCATTTAATGCAGCTGCAAAACTAACTGTTCTAATTATTGCAAACACTGTCACCGCACAACGGCATAGAGCAGTCTTCTCTGAGAAATGATATTGTGATCTAAGTACGTTTACTTTTGATTTTGGGTAGTAATCGGATTACTTGGACAAAACAAAATGTTGAAAACGTCCAGCAGGACTGTGACTGAAATTTAACATATGTTCAGCGAATAAGGTTTTGTATATCAATATTTTCTTTATACGTATATGAATTGTCACTGAGGATGTCAATGTGAAAATATATGTCGAATTGATTTGATTTGATTTGACTTTCAGCAAAATGTTCTCTTCTGCGCTGCATTTGGATCCTTGAAATGTGATTGGTGTAAAAGTGTTGTCATCAAGTGTTTAATGTGGGAAAATGTTTGGGTTACCCGTCAGTTGCCCTTCGGTTGCCTGTTGGTATGACGTCACAGGGCACATGGTCTATTGTAAGCGTTAACTTGGTATGTGGGTTGGTCTTGTAGTACCCTAGAAGCCTATTGGACTTTTGGAAAGCTGATTGGATGTTTGTGGTCACATTATCTGATAACAATTCGTCATCTCCAAAAGCAAAGTGTTCATATGACACCCCTATTGTTAGTGTGGTCGGTTGCTGCTCCAGGAATTGTTTGTACAATACAGACGTGAATTCAGTGCAATGAATTGGAATTGATTGGAGTTAATTAAAGTCTCGTCGTGACGTTATTATTTGTAAGCAATGAAAACACTCATATGAAGTCCCATAGCTCCTATATTTTATCAATACAGCAGTGCAAGGCCTTTGATTTTCAATATGTCAGGTTTGTTGTTGTTTGATACAAGACTGAAAAAAAATTGCTCAATGAATTTAGGAGTGGTTTCCTCCTTTTACTGTTATTTCTCTTATCATGTGGAAAACAACAAGAATTTAAAGTGAAGCTGTAGATTCTGTTGATCTTATTAAAACAAATTAAAAACTACCAATTGTTATACATCATTATTGCAGTATCGTACAATTCTTAAAGCTCTACAGGTAATTAAAAAAAGGCTGAATGGACTTAATGTATTAGCATGGAACCAATATTATTTGAATTCTAACCCCAGGGCATACCCTGTTGTTGTAATATTGAAGCAAATTTTGCCAAACTATTTAGCTGTATTCTCCAATTTTACAAACATGGTTCTAATTATGCAACCAATACTGCTGCTCATACTGATGTTACCAACATAGTACTAGCTATTCCAATCACAGCTGCTTACACTGATTTTACTAATACAAGTACCGCTTATTACGTCCAACATATACGTACACTTATTGCACCAACACATAGTACCATTTATTTCTTCTAACGGGTGCATACCCTTTTATCAACGAAAAACTAAATACTAAAAAGCTGCACATATAATACTGCAAGCATAGTACATGTATACCTATATACCCTAGAGTATAGTGGTGTTCCCTAATGTGGCGCACCTCGAGGTTTCCCGCGTCTTTCCTCATGCAGTGTTGCCAAACCTCTTTGTTGAAAAACTTCAAATTCATTCAGTTAAATACTGGGACTAATACCTTCATAATTCTTGCCGTTGAACCTTTGTGAACAATTTCAGTATCATGAAATTTAGTCTGAAATTAAAAGACAGTGGCGTCCGGAAAATTGGCACAAATTCGGCCGAGTGTTCCCTAACGTGGGGCACTTGAACAAATCTCAAAAAATCCAACGTTAACATTTAAGAATTTCTTTAAAGTTGATAAATTCTTATAAATCATCAATATCTCCACTCACATACCCAACTACAAGCTTATCGGAACATTATTTTCCTAATTTTGGGCGCATTTCAAAGGGTTTATTTTGCACTTCAAAGTACAATCGGAAAAGTACGCCAAAATGGAACTTTTCTGGAACTTTGTTGCGGGTACGTACGATTTATGCGCGGAAATGTTAGAGCTTGATGGAATTTTATTTACTGTGGTATTTAAGGGTGAAATATTGGTCAAGCAAAGCACCGAAGACGAAAAAAGTGCGCCACGTTAGGGTACATCAACAATACTTAAGGAGCCTGTCAGTTTAGCAGCCTTAAGTGTCACCGTGTTTTGTTACTCCGTACTGTACTAAACGTTACATTAGATTTTGTTATATTTTCATAGATAACATCACATTTCATGCCAAAACATACAAAAAATTGACACATTTGTCTTGCTTTTTTAATCCTGAATTTAGAATAAAAAACCAGGTCTTTTTCCATACAAAAATAACATTTTACCAATTTTTGATCACGTCATAGCATCTTTGCCCCCAAAGAAATCCAGATAAAATTGTTCCTTTTGTGAAATCAAATTTTTACTTTTGAACAAGTAATTGTTCTAGAAATATTGCATTTTCATAGAAGAGCTTCTGAGATTGTAGTAATTGTTCCTCCAAGTTTTCCATACTATACCACTCGAAGCAGTTCCTTGCCCAAATCTTCCATTCAAATTAGATTGGTAACATTTTTTATACCACCACGCACCTTTACAAAGTTTGGCACAGGATTGTGCATAGATGTCATTGTCTTTGTCTTTAGATGAAAACATCATTCCATTGTGGTATGTGAGCGAGTCTCCTGCAGTGCTGTGGGTATTGTATGAGTTGACTTGGAGTGTGTAGTTGTCTCCATGTATCTGAAAGCCGTCATATTCAGCCCAAGCTATGTTATTCTCCCAGTCCTCTAAGTCAATTCGTAGTTGCCACTTACCTTCAGTCTCAGTCAGGCTGCGTAGGTTGTCATTCCCAAGCCAGAACTCACCAGACAAGCTGCCAAAGCCAAGCTGGTAGTCAGTCGAGTTGCGGTAGAAGTCAACGCTGCCATCTTGATGCCTCTGAATGACGATCCATCCTCCACCATCAGTCCCCATCTCACAGTAGACCTGCAGCCCATCATTGAATCCAGCTGGGAATATCGTGTAGATACTACTCACATTATGACCAGCTTGAAGGACCTCTTCACAACCTCTGAACTGAGGCAGAGAGAAGAAAGATGTGTCTACATCATCATCAAAGTACACACTGCCGTAGTGTGTAATGAAATCAGTAGGATTTTTCATCCTTGTCAAATTGTTCATTTGACAAAGTTGTTCTGTTTTATGATAATTCACAGATCGGCAGTTGTTATCAGCATGACAGTAGCTAACACAGCGGACAGCAGACTTGACCTGTTCCTTTCTAAATGTAGAAGTCTGAAGTGCACGATTGTCTGCAGCAATGAATGTTTGTTGGTCATAGTGACGTCTCTGTTTACAGCTTTCAACGAAAAACAATGCCAAAATAAATAGAAAACCTACTTGAAGAATCTTTGATTTAGAGCCCAATAGCCCTCCTGCGGTTTCCATTCTGTTTCTGGTCGGCTGCCATCAAATATTTCACTTGCATAAATCTATGCTCCAAGGAAGTGCTGTATTTGTTGAATGTCACAATAAATATAAGGTTTCGAGCATTCACGAAAATAAGCACTCTTTACGGTATGGTCTTTTAAGATAGAATTTGTAACTTTTACCAGATTTTTAGTCAATCTTCAAACAGCTACCGACGGTAGATCTTCAAATGTCCTGATAGAAATGAGGCATCACACTATCTACCGTGCTATTAATTGCATCAGTGATATTAAACTTCAGCTTCTACTTGCTCTTAATTGACAAGATTGTCACATCACAATGGGATCAATATAGATTGCAATGGTTGTGCTGTGATGTTGTCTTGGTTACTGTTTTTACTGCCTTTGGTAAATAAGGTGTCAGGCAGTGTGTAGAGGGTTGTAATAAACTGTATCGTGTTTGGTTAAGGGATGGTGGCATGGAATATCACTGTAGACTTAAATTGTGTACGGGAATACATGGGCAATGAGATTGAAAGTGTAATGAGATATATTCGGTATGATATCTGCAAGTACATGTGTATTTTCATGAATCAAAGTTTGTTTTGAAGTTATGCCTTAATCAATATGATTTCCCTGTGTTGATCAGGCTTTTATTTGTTCTAAAGTGAGCTACAATTCCTGAAATTAGTTTTGGCATTTTGTACATATTAATAATACCTCTAGGGCTTACATATTTATATCAGTCCTTTGAGGAGTAAGCAGACACAAATGACAATGGGAAGTCATTCCAATCAATTTATTCTGCTTATTTGGCTGACATACATGCTAGAAAAGGCCAGTGCCCATTTGCTTTGAGACGCACATTAATCAGATGTATGTTTATCAACCAGAGGGGCGGAACTAGGCTGATGATGTGGGCGAGACATACTAGGACATCCTGGAAAAAACACCAGTCATTGACGGATCCAGACGTTAAGTGTACTTCAAGAAAAGTATTTTTCATCTTATTCCAATGAACAAAAGATCGAGTTAAACTTTTCCAAAAATTACAAATATGCCTTCATTTATTTCATTTGAAGTCAAGAACCTGGATTAGTCATTGATTTTTTCTTCAAACAAATTTGTGTGGAAAAAGGTGTCATTACACATCCATGTACCAATGCATAGCAAATGCGTAAAACCATCGTGAGCTTACCCCAAACTAGTAAACTTCTTGCAGACATTGAGAGCATTAAAAAATATGTTCGCTTGATCACTGGAAATATACTCTAATGCAAAATAACATTTAAACGAGTTAAATTTTTTTTTTTTATCTGCCTTGCAGCGGCGTAGCTACGGGGGTGCGTGGGGGGGGGGGGGGGACACACGCGCCTCATAAAAACATCGTCGCCCCAGTCCCCCCCTGATAATTTGGCCATCGGAAAAAATCACGAAATCAGTTCTTTTTTTAGATGTTAAATATAATTTTGGCAATGCAGGATTCAGTGGAGGAATTAAAAGGTCCCTCCTCCCCGAGTTAAGCATTCTGTAACTCATAACACTGTTCATGGCAACCCACCTATTAACAAAACAGTGACACACTTGGGTGAGTCCGCAATCTAGTCTCCTCCCACCCCTAGTCCTACAACTTGCCCCCTATTTCATTTTTCTACTTTTGAAACTAAAAAACAAAAAGGCTTGGATTTAAGCATATAAAGACGGATTCGTGTGACTAGGATAGATTCGTATGTCTATAGACAAATATTGTTGTTTTAAATACAATAGCAGCCCAAGGACCAAAAGAGCATGCCAGAATGGGGCAGGGCACATGACCTTAACGGGGGGCACATGACCTTAACTGCTTGATCCATGTCTCTACTTGGCGTAAAGCATGCTAGCAGGCCTACCCGTTCACTGCATTAAAAATGGTTTGATCCTTACAACCGGCATTTTGAAAATATCCCATGGAAATGACGGCCATCTACATTCCCTCCCATTGTAACCTTGTAACAATAGAAGTGGGGCGTCGTTGGAAGTGCCATTGTATACATCTGGCCGGTCAGTCACCAAGCGGGAGGGCGTGTATAGTATGGCGCAAATTACTTTATAGCGGCAGAGTCCATAGATGGCGCACTAGCGGCTGCGGGCCCCATAAGAGGCCGCGGGGCAGTTGCTAGAATCAGACGTACATGTAGACGCAAAGGGAGACACACGCTATTGCGCTCGCTGCCGGCGTGCTGGGTGGTGTGAGTAGGTCGGGCTGGCATCAGAAGGCACGGAGAGATAATTGAGAGGCTCGGAGACCAATCACTTATTAGAGGCTATATTATAATTTAACGAAAGGTCCACCATATAGTGATTCTGTGTAAATAAATCAATCAGTAATTGAGGTCATCGACTGTTTGTGTATTTAAATGTCTGTCCTTGTCCATCTTGGAGGTTGAGAGGCATGGGGTGAGTGCCGCTTCGCTTATAGGGCGGTACATTTCCATCCAAACGGTTCTGCATTCCCAGCTGCTTGGGTACTGATCCTTAGAGGGTTATCCGGGAAAGGGACTACGGAATGGGTAACAGATATTCCCGCCACAAATGGTGTCAGAAGTGGAATTATACGCCTAGCTACCATTTGTCCATGTTCTCGTGCCTGCAGGAGGCTTGGGGAGGCAAAGACCAGAATTCATTAATAAGTAAGACACCTCAAATAGATAAAACTAAATTCAATTAAGACGTAGACACAAACTAATAATAATAACAGACCAGACTGCTAAGGAACTTCAAGGAGAGGTTGACAGTCTCCGAGTGGACCTCAGGAAAGGGAGGATGAGCTCCAGCGTTCAATGCAGGAGAGTCCACGCCAGGAGGCTACCCAATAGAGAAATTGATGAGTAGGATATCTGGACTAGGGGATGCTTGGTGTAGCATAGGTCAGGGGATTTATCTGGATTCAGGTGTACACATTGACTTGCCTACATTTCCCAGGTGCAGGGCATGGGACAGGAGGCTACTGGAGGTAACTGGACGCCTCCGAGGTGTATCATGAAGAAGAATCAGTCTTGGATGGCACAGGCACAGTCTACTATCATTAGAAGAGACGCAGCGCAACCTGTGGAGGCGATCGTTGAGTTAACGAAGCCAGTGGAAGTTATAAATGAACTAGAGAAAAGTGAGCAGCAAGGTCATGAATAAGAGGCGCAGGAGCCATCATGGCCTCTCAAACGAGACCAACGAATAAAAGGGGATAAGCAGTTACAAGAGAGGCTGACAAAGAGCTCGGGTCGCCCAAGGATTGTCCCAGACCGATTCGAATTATGTAAACAACCGTTAATAGACCACAGGGAACATTTCGAGTCATGTAAAATAGCCAATGGATAGAACGACGAAGAGGCGTCGGAGTTATCAGTCAGCAAGCCTCCAGGGTCCGGCATTAAAGGTACTTCTTCACCATGGGGACAGACAGAAGAAGAGTTATTCAAGCTTTTGCATGGGCGTTTTGGACCTGGAAAGTGAGCAGAAAATTTCCTCATTGAGCTGAGGAGTACGAGGCAGAAGCCGAAAGAAACCATACGGGAGCTCGGCCAGGCGGTACGCGAATTAGCGTCCTTTTTCTACCCGGAGTTTACGGAAACCGCAAGGGACCGCCTTGCAAGAGAACACTTCTCTAATGCGAAAGCTAGTCAGTCTATTCGAGAGAAGGCGTTCCGGGCCAACCCTTCTACACTTGATGAGGCGATACGGGCAGCCTTTAAGCAATTGAAAACTTCGAGAAGATTGAGGCTCAAAGGAATGGGCCCAAGTTCGGCAACGGAAAATATAGGGTGCTTGATGACGCCGCAGAGGACGTTATTGTTCAGCATGCGTAGAACAAGAGTAGATAGACCAAACAATGGAAGAGGCGGGTCAAACAAAGCAGAGGAGGACATACAAATTGACACAGGACTTTAAAAGGGGGTAGTAACGGAGCCGTAATGACTGAGAGAGAGCGGGAACAGAGGCGACGTGAGGATGGAGTAGACAAGTCAAAGGAGACCAGACAGATGGCGTTGAAGAGACCAGATGGACGGAAGGTGAAGGATCTTGGAGATGCTGAGACATGGGCAGAGGCGCTAAGTATACCCCATCAGAAAGACGACATCAATGAACAACCACAAGAAGAGAAGCGACCGACTCATCAAAACGAACTGGAGGCACAAAAGGAACCACCAGCCAAACGTTAGTCCGCTCAAGGTACAGTCGCTCAAGGAGGCCCCCGGCCCTTGATCTCTCGATTGTTGGACCGGAGGCCAGTGGAGGATTATTTTTGTCACCGGCCTCTTTGTCCTTGTTAGAAAATGCTATGCCAGCCCCAGTGCATAAGCCGCTTGGTGGTAAGCCTCAGGGATGTTCTTAATGGCCCAGCAGGACAACGCAGAGAGCAGTGAAGAGGAGGTGGGAGTGTTGTCACCACATGAGCCGGCTGAGGCAGCATCCAATAACGGATCACCTTCGCACGCCATAGATGATCTGCGCCCAACCCACGTGACACCTCTGGAAGAGGTACTGAGGGGCAAGGTAACCCAGGTGAAGTAAGTATCGTCTACCCTCCTCGAGTACTAGGAGGTGTGAAAGATCGTGAGCAGCTGTTGGAGAGGGTGTACGATGTCCAGTTCGACCAAGATTAAGTAACAGCGCATCTGAAGAGTACGCAACTTGTTAGACTCGTTTCTCCAAGCCACAATTTCTTAAAGTTTTATATAGAGTTTTATTAAAGTTTAT